CTTTTCCTCCAGAAACAGATTCGTCAGGACCATGTGTCGAAAAGCGGAGGGGGGGGAGGGGAAGGGGGGAGGGGAGGGAGGAGTTGCATGGTCAACTTTAAGGTGGAACATCCGGGGATAAGTAAGGCGCGGGGACGGGTGCGCGAGAGGATGAACAAGTGGGTTGCGCGAAAGAAGCGCGCAACTATCGTCTAAAACTGAACGATTGCAGTGTCGATTCGATTTTCACCCACATGCGTGAGGTGTGCCGGCACGGGCCTGGGGACGCATGCGGAGCCCTGCCGCGGGGGCGTGCGGTGAAGCGCCCCAAGGGGCCACAAGAAACGTGCGAGGGGTGCGCCGACGTGGGCCTCGGGACGCGTGTGGAGCCCTGCCGCTGGGGCCTGCGGTGGATCTACCCATCGGCGGTGGACAAACCTCCCTTCAGTAAACCACCCTTTAGTGAAAACGCCCCAGGACCGAAACCGACGGACCTGGACCCACAAGAATGACGGCCGCGACGCCCTCTCGCGAACGAAGAACGGCCAATTCGCTAATCGACGTGTCAGGGTAGGAGGTCTATCAACCTCCGAACCTACGGGGACACGAAACGTGTGAGGGGTGCGTCGACATCGGCGTGGCGGCCCAGGGCCCGGGGCCAGGGCCAAAGATGATGAGGACGATGATGGCGATGACGATGCAGATGCGGGGTGGGAGGAGGGAGCAGGGGGAGGGAGGGGGAGGAGGAGTGACGCGGGACGCTGCTGACTCAAAACGGGGACCCGACACCACGGGATGGTGCGGAAAACAATCAGGACGGGAACCCCATGCCCCGTCTCTCCGCGGCAGTGTTCGAGCTGGATCGAGCTGTGAGGGCGGCAGGGCCTGCAATGGCAGGATCTCGGGGCTCCTCCCTCGCAATTCTGGTCTCTGGGGCCGCCGGAGAATGGCCACTGACTGCCGTCCCCAGGCCCCCAGGAGCACGAGAGCAGCCAGAGGACCTGGTGATGATGATGATGCTGCTGCTGATGATGATGATGATGATGATGATGATGATGATGATGCTGATGCTGATGCTGATGATGATGATGCTGATGCTGATGCTGATGATGCTGATGCTGATGATGATGATGATGAGGAGGAGGAGGAGGAGGATGACGATGATGATGGCGATGGCGATGGCGAATGATGAATGATGATGATGATGATGATGATGATGATGATGATGATGATGATGATGATGATGATGATGATGATGATGATGATGATGATGATGTGATGATGATGGGGTTTGGTGATGATGATGATGATGTGTGGTTGGTGGTGGTGGTGGTGATGATGATGTTTGATGATGATGATGATGATGATGATGATGATGATGATGATGATGATGATGATGATGATGATGATGATGATGATGATGATGATGATGATGATGATGATGATGATGATGATGATGATGATGATGATGATGGTGGTGGTGGTGATGATGATGATGATGACGATGCTGATAATGTTGGTGGTGGTGATGATGATGATGATGACTATGGTGATGGTGATGGTGATGGTGATGGTGATGGTGATGCTCCCGTCATGATTTGTTCATTACCCGAGGCGGTCTGGGGACCTGGGGTCGTCTGTGCCCTATCCCAGGGACGGGGTCTTCGTCCCAGGCCGTTGTTTGGACGGCCCCAGCAGCACGCGGCGAGGGACCCGAGACGCCGAAGATCGGCACAAGCCTCTCGACGCGATCTTGGCCACGACGCGAAGGGGGCCTGGGGGGAGAGAGGGACGGACCCAGACATGCACGCGTCGTGAAAAACACAGTCACGACGAGGGGGTTTTGGCGGGCCGTTTTCGACCTCCAAGAGGGGCCCTCGCCGGGCCCCGGGAGCGTCAGAAAACGACTCAGGCTGAAGAGCCGGCCCTGGGGAAGCGTTGGGACTTGGGGGACCGCGCACCGAAAAACGAAGGGCGTCGCATGTCTGGGAGGGCAGCGCGAGGCTGGCCGATGACCACGAGCGCGCAAGCGCAAGGCCGAGAGGCAGGCCAGCCAGCCAGGGCTCTCCCCGCGCCAGCCGGCATGCGTCCGCCTCCCCCCGCACCCCCGGGCTGCTCAGCAGGTGCTCCACAGCACCGGATCAGCTTACAGCCAGCGTGCTACCGGAAGCGAAGCCCAGCAAGGAATCAAGGAGCTTCTGGCCACGGCGAGCCTCGGCTTCGGCGAGGTCCCCGACCTTGACCTCAGGAGCGGTCGGACCATCGGAGCCCCTCCTGAGCCCGAAATGCTCATTAGGAGGAGGAGTGCAGCAGCCGTCTGGCCTCAAAAGGCCTCCCGAGTAGTCCCACCTGGCCTCAGCAGGCCCCCCCGAGTAGTCCAGGGCGGTCTCAACACTCTGGCGCCGCCTCTGGCGGCCCCCCCTCGGGGCGCGGAGATGTGTTGAGGCTGCCCCAGACTACTCGGGGGGCCCGTCGAGGCCAGCTGGGACTACTCGGGAGGCCTGTGGAGGCCAGCTGGGACTACACGCCGGTCGTTGAAAGTAGGTCTTTTTGGATTCCAAGATCCCCATCTACTTCAAGTGCCTTCCTACTTCAAGAATCGACGCCCTTTTGGTGTGTTTTGTTATTCTCTGGGGGGGCCTGGACTCCTCCTCCTCCTCCTCCTCCTCCTCCTCCTCCTCCTTCCGCTCTCCTCCTCCTCCTACTGCTCTACCTCCTCCTTCCTCCTTCCTCCTCCTCATCTCCCACTCCTCCTCCTCCTCCTCCTCCATCTATCATCATCCATCATCATATCATCATCATTCATCAATCATCTATCATCATCATCATATCATCATCATCATCAGCAGCAGCAGCAGCAGCATCCATCATCATCATCATCATCATCATCATCTCATATCATCATCATCATCATCATCATCATCATCATCATCATCATCATAATCATCATCATCATCATCATCATCATCATCCCCTCCTCCTCCTCCTCATCATCATCATCATCAGCATCATCATCAGCAGCATCATCATAATCAGCATCATCATCAGCAGCAGCAGCATCAGCATCAGCATCATCAGCAATAGTATCATCATCAGCAGCAGCAGCGTCAGCATCATCATCAGCATCATCAGCATCAGCATCATCATCAACATCATCATCAGCAGCAGCATCATCATCAGCATCATCATTATCATCATCAGCATCAGCATCATCATCATCATCATCATCATCATCATCATCATCACCAGCATCAGCATCATCATCATCAGCATCATCACCATCATCATCATCGCCAGCAGCATCATCAGCATCAGCATCAGCATCAGCATCAGCATCATCATCATCATCATCAGCAGCAGCAGCATCATCACCATCACCATCATCGTCATCGTCATCGTCATCGCCATCGCCATCGCCATCGCCATCATCATCCTCGTGCCGCGGCCCTGGGGAGCGGTACGGGGCCAGGCGTCCTGCAGGGATATGCACGTCAGGTAGTATAGGGTCCCGTACGCGCCCAGCGTCATCCACTCGGGCACCGGCAGGAACGGCCTCGCCCCGAGGCCCTCTCCAACCGTCGGGCGCTCCGCAGCTGCCTGGTGGAAGTGGTCTCGTATCCAGGCGCCCTCCTGTCGCATGATTCGACCCTCCAGGGGGACAGGAGGAGGAGGAGGCGGAGGAGGAAGAGGAAGAGGAGAAGAGGGAGGAGGAGAAGTAGGAGGAGAAGAGGGAGGAGGAGGAGGAGGAGGAGGAGGAGGAGGAGGAGGAGGAAGAGGAGGAGGAGAAGAAAGAGGAGGAGGAGGAGGACCAGTGTAAGCCCAATACTCATTCACGATCTTGCAATAAACCCTCCCTCCGAGTTCCCTCATCATGGGCCCATACAAGGACTCATTTTCAGTGAGGGATTTGCCACGCTGGCAACCGTTTGAAAATGACGAATTGCACCAGAACATCATTCCTAGGACCTTAACGCTGCAAATCACCGGTGCTGTTGTGTCTTGAAGATCCTGAATCGCGCCAGAACACCATTCCTGAGACTTCAACACCGCGAATCAACGTAGCGTTTGCCCTCTGAGATTCCGACATCTTGCCAAAACATCATTTCTGGAACGTGAATTAGAATCCTTGAAAATGCTATGAACTCTGAAGAAGAATGAATGTGCGCGGCGCTATGTCGACAGCCACATTTTGAAAAGGAAGCGCCCTGCATCCACGAAACTCTTGCAATGTGCCCCAACCCTCCTGTGTTGGGCTCTCGTTTTGACTAGAGCACTGCGGTCGCCCACACTCCTGCTTCTCCCCCCCCTCGTCCTGCCCCCTCACGTGCGGCTCCATGGGAGGCTGCGAACTGCGCAACTGTCGCCACGTCGTTGGGCTCCTGGGAGGCACGGCGGTGCAGGGGAGTAAACGGACCCAGACTAGACATCACATCTCCCTGGGAAGGCTGCGAGCTGGCAACTGTCGTTTCGTAGGCTCCTGGGAGGCACGGTGGAGTAGGGGAGTCATCGGACCCAGACTACACCTCGCAGCTCGTGGGGGGCTGCGAACTGGCAACTGTCACCACTTCATGGGCTCCTCGGAGGCAAGGTGGAGTAGGAAAGAAACGGACCCAGACTAGACCTCGCAGCTCCTGGGGGGGGCTGCGAACTGTATAACTGTCACAACTTTCGCGGGCTCCTGGGAGGCACGGCGGAGTAGGGGAGCAAACGGACCCAGACTAGACCTCGCAGCTCCCTGGGGAGGCTGCGCGATGCGCAACTGTCGCCGCTTTCGTGGGCTCCTGGAATGCACGGCGGAGCAGGGGAGTAGTCGGACCCAGACTAGACCTCGCAGTTCCCTGGGGGGCTGCGAACTGCGCAACTGTCGTCACTTTCGTGGGCTCCTGGGAGGCACGGCGGAGTACTTAGAGGAGTACAAGGACCCAGCCTAGACCTCGCAGCTCCCTGGGGATGTGCGAACTGCGCAACTGTTGCCACGTTCGTGGGCTCCTGGGAGGCACGGTGGCGTAGGGGAGTACGCGGACCCAGCCAGGAACTCGCATCTCCCTGAGCGGCTGCGAGCTGCGCAACTGTCGCCACCTCAGTGGGCTCCAGGGAGGCACAGTACACGGATCCAGCCGAGATATCGCAGCTCCCTGGGCGGCTGCGAGATGCGCAACTGTCGCCTCTTTCGTGGGCTCGTGGAATGCACGGCGGAGTAGGGGAATACGGGGACCCACACGAGACCTCTCAGCTCCCTGGGTGGCTGGGATCGATGGTGATGGTGATGGTGATGGCGATGGTGATGGTGATGGTGATGGTGATGGTGATGGTGATGGTGATGCTGATGGTGATGCTGATGCTGATGGTGATGGTGATGCTGGTGTGGGTGATGGTGATGGTGATGGTGATGGTAAGCGTGATAGTGATGATGATGATGATGTTGTTGATGATGTTGATGATGATCATGATGATGATCATGATGTTGATGCTGATGATTGTAATGATGATGCTAATGCTGATGATGGTGGTGGTAATGATGGTGGTAGTGGTGATGATGATGATGACGATGGTGATGATGATTAAGTTGCTGATGATGATGACGACGATAATGATGATGATTATTGTGAGGGTGATGATGATGGTGATGGTGATGGTGATGGTGATGGTGATGGTGGTGGTGATCGTGATCGTGATCGTGATGGTGATGGTGATGGTGATGGTGATGGTGATGGTGATGGTGATGGTGATGGTGATGGTGATGGTGATGGTGATGGTGATGGTGATGGTGCTGTTGGTAATGATGGTGATGCTGCTGATGGTGATGACGATGCTGATGAGAATGATGATGGTGATGATGATGCTGCTGATGGTGATGATGCTGAGGAGGAGGAGGAGGAGAGGGATGAGGATGGTGATGAAGATGAGGAGGAGGGTGGCGATAGTGATAGTGGTGATGATGGTGGTGATGATGATGGTAATGATCATGATGATGATGCTAAGTCTGATGATAATGATGGTGATGACGATGACGATTGCGAGAAGTATTATGATGGTTTGATGATGATGGTGGTGGTGCCAGTGGTGATGCTGATGATGATGATGATGATGATGATGATGATGATGATGATGGTGATGCTGATGCTGATGCTGATGGTGAAGGTGAAGGTGATGATGATGGTGGTGGTGATGGTGATGATGGTGACGATCATGCTGATCACTTTAATGAAGGCGACGGCGATAACGACAACAATGACGACGACGAGTATGACAATGATGATGATACTGATCATGATAATGAGCCAGTAGCATCATCAGGATGAACGCAAGCATCATGATGATGGGCATGATCATTATGATGATCATGATGATGGATACGACGACGACAACGACAACGACCATGACGACGACGATGGTGACGATGATGATATTGCTGCTGCTGCTGGTGCTGGTGATGATGATGATACTTATGATGATGATGATGATGGTGATGATGATGATGATGATGATGATGATGATGATGATGATGATGATGATGATGATGATGATGATGAGTATGATGAGTATGATGAGGATGCTGATGATGATGAGGAGGAGGTGGAGGCGGATGAGCAGGAGTAATAGCGGAGCACGCGCATCCACACGAGACCTCGCAGCTCCTTGGGTGCATGCGAACTGTGCAACTGTCGCCACGTTCGTGGGCTCCTGGGAGGTTCAGCGAGGTCGGGGACCACGCGGACCCATTTGGGACCTCGCTGCTCCCGGGGAGGCTGCGAACTGCGCAACTGTCACTATGTCCGTGGGCTCCTGGAAGTCCAGCGGGGTCGGGGGCCACGCGCACCCATTTGAGACCTCGCTGCTCACTGGGTGGCTGCGAACTGCGCAACTGTCGCCTCTTTCGCGGGGGCCACGCGGATCCAGCCGAGACCTCGCAGCGCCGTGGGAGGCTACGAACTGCGCATTCTGTCGCTACTTTCGTGGGCTCATGGAAGGCACGGCGGAGATGAGGGCAGCTCTGATCGTGGATATCTAGCGATGTGTTCTTTCGTATGGAGCGTTCATACAAATACTCGCCTCGCGTGGAGAAGGGATTGGGTACGTCTTGGGTGATTGAAACCGAATGTGCGCGACGCGCTAAGGCGAGAGCCACTTGTTGAAAACCACCCGCCCTCCATCCGTGAAGCTCCTGCAATTGTTGTTAACGAATGTGCGCGGCACTCACGCGAGAGCCACATGTTGAAAACCACCTGCCCTGCATCCGTGAAGCTCTTGCAAATGTTCAGCCCATCCTACCGGCACGCCTCGGGGTGCGACAGGGAGGAGTTATCGATTAGGAAAAGAAACGGAGGAGGAAGAGGAAGAAGAGGAGACAAGAGTGTAAGGGGAGAGAGAAAGAGATTGGGAGGGGCGGGGCAAGGAGGGAGAAGGAGGGAGGGGGGGAGGGAGGCATGGAGGGAAGGAGAGAAAGGGAGAAGGGGAGTGGAGCGACTGAGGGTGTGTGGGGGTGACTTTGGGAGGAGGGACGCGCGGGTGGAATTGCCAGAGGAGGGCGGGACGCTGGGGATCGAATGGGCTGGGGAGGCCAGCTCTGGGGGGCAGTGTAGCTGGAGGAGGCGCGGAAGGCGCGGGGAGGGGCGGATACGGCAGGCTCCGTCGTGCCGAGCCCTGCGTTGGTTCCTGACACCGCGGGGATCGTTCAACCTTGAACGGTCGCCCGTTTCCGAAACGTCAGATCCTTCAACGTCGACCGATTCTGGGTCGCCGGCGGCGTTCAACGTTGAAGGCCAGCGGCGGAGGGTCGCCACCGGCCGACACGACGTGAATCTACCGCAGAGGGGGGGGGAGAGCCGAAGCGGGGAGGTTAGATGGAGGCTGGGCTGGACAACAGGGGATATGTCGACCCCTGTCCCAGGCTTCGTGGCCCAGGCTTTCTGGGATAGGGGTCGACATATCCCCTGTAACAGGGGATCTGTCGACCCCTATCCCAGACCAGAAACTTTGTGCCCAACCCTGAAATATACGAGGGGGGGGCGTCCAGCCTCGGTAGGAGTGCCCCCCTTGGTGTATCCCAGGGCTTCCCTGTTTACTCCTGTCTCCTGGGCGGCCAAGCCTCTCGAGCGGATCTCGGGCAGGGGGAGAGAAAGAAAACAAACAAACTAACAAAAAACAAAAACAACAACAACAACAACAACAACAACAACAACAACAACAACAACAACAACAACAAACAACGCCTGCGCGACTGGAGGGGCTGGAGGGGCCGGATTGGCTGAAGCAGCGGCCTGGAGGGGGAAGGGTTCGGCGGCGAGCGAGGGGGGGAAATGATAAGGAGAAGGCCTTCTCAGAAGGCGGCGGGACTTCTCCAGAAGCCCTCGCGCTTCTGAGAAGTTGTGTTGTGTCTTCGGGGGAGGCTTAGAAAACTTCTCAGAAGGCCCGGGGACTTCCGAGCCTTCTGAGAAAGCCCGCCCCCTTCTCACTTTCCCCCCTCGCCCGCCGCCGAAGGGTGCCCCGAACCTGCTGGCGTCGCACAATAGGCCCGACGGGAGGCCCGTGGCAAGTTTCGGCCCGCCAAGCGGCCTGGACACGGTGGCGCCCCGCAAACAACAAAATCACGACTGGGGGCCCTCGCCAGGGGCCCTGGAAATGCTGGCGTCGTGAAAACAATACGACGGGTGGTTTTTGGCAACTCTCGGCCTCCAGGGGGGCCCTGGCCGAGCCTCGGGAGTCAGAAAACGACCCGGGGGGGAAAACTGGACCTAGGGGGGAAGTCGGGGGCGCGCAAACATGGATTAGCGATCCATGGATTTGGCGCGTGGTCGCCAAGTCCATGTATCGGGGGAGGTGCCCTCCCCAAAACGCGGCCGGTGCCGCCTCGCTCGGAGGCGGAAATCCGAGATTTCACATGGAAGCGGGACCTGTCGCTAGTCCACGCCCCCTTGATCCATGTTTGCGATCGCCCGACTCTGGGGCTGCAGCGGCGGCGAGCCCTCCCTGCCCCCAGCCTTAGGTCGGGCATGTCCCCCTGCAGGCTGACGTTGGAAGAAAAATAAAATATATTCACGAATACCTAGGAATAGTCCGAATATTGTGATACATATAAATATATGTGTGTTCTATGTACATATATATATATATATTGCTATTATACAGGAAGTGCCCCCCCCCCCCCCCCAAAAAAAAAAAAAAAACACTTTTGAGGAAGGGTCGGGACTTCGGGGGGCCGCGCATCGAAAAGCTCAGGACGCCACATGCCTGGGGGAGGGGGGGGGGGGGCAGCGCGAGAGGCAGGCCGACGACCACGAGCGAGCAAGCGGGAGGCCGAGGGGTGGGCCCGCCAGCTGGAGCTCGCCCCGCGCCCCCCGGCATGCGTCCCCCTCCCCCCGGGACCTCTGGGGGCCGCCGCCCCCTCCTCCTCTTCCTCCTCCGCCTCTTCCTCCTCCGCCTCCCTCCTCCTCCACCTCCTCCTCCTCCTCCTCCTCCTCCTCCTCCTCCTCATCATCATCATCATCCTCCTTCTCCTCCTCCTCCTCCTCCTCCTCCTCTAGGGTTGGAAGGAGGCCGGGAGAAGCGAGCGGATGCGAGCACCTCTGCGGGCGACGAGCGTCCGGGACGAGCTCGAGGACCAGGCGGGTGAAGCCGTGGCCTCGGGGATCTATTAGCACGCACGGCCAACGTGCACCAGCAACAGATCCGCCGACCCTGGTGAGCGTTTTCTGATTCGGCGTTTCGACATTGGGCGGAAAGGGGGGGGGGAGGAGGAGGGGATTCTGGCTCCAGACCTCTGCTTAATGCGACTGTTTGCAAGAGTGCTGCCTCTGGGGGGGACTCACTCCACCTGCTCGAAACAGGCGCCGGGAACAGCCAAGATCTACTCAGGGGGGGAAGGGGTGTGCGAGGGCACGCGCAGATCGGCAAAAGAATGAATCAAAAACGTTCACCTGTCGGCGTGTGCGAGGGACTGTTTCGTTTGAGTCGTCTTCGCCGCCGCAGTCGCCGCTTACCCCCCCTGCTCCATGGGCCCTCCTCCTTGAGCGCACACTGAGGCCCGTCCACAAGAAACCTTCCACAAGAAACCCAATCACCCCAGGACGTCCGTGGATTTTTGGTGGGAACGTCGCGCTATCCATGGCAAAACCATCGAAACCCAAGAAACCCAGGGCACCCTGAAAGCAAGCAGAGTGTTTCTCGGCATGAGCCCACGCTGTACTTGGTCCCGCGTCCGCACATCGCTTGGCGAGGCGCGCCTGGGCGAGGGGCGGGCTGGGGGCGGGAGGAACGGGCCGAGGGGCGGGAGGAGCGGGCTGGGGAGGGAAGGGTCTGGAGGGGACCCAGAGGGGGCAGTGCAGGGGGAGCAAGCCCAGTATCAACGACACACCGCCGATGGGAACCATACAGCGTGTTACAATGGAGGCCAGTCTACAAGAAACCTTCCACAAGACACCAAACCCTGAGACCCCAGGACGTCCATTGATCCCTGGTGTGGGAACGCCACGCTCTCCATCGCAAAACCATCGAAACCCGAGAAGCCCAGGGCACCCTGCAGGCAAGCAGGGTGTTTTTTGGCCTCGGCCCCCACTGCACCGCTGAAGAATCACAAGGTCTTTGGACGAACACGAGGAGGTAACTACTTTTTTCGTCAGCGGCGAGGCGGCGAACTCCGCTCCAGCGAGAAGCTAGATAGGGGCACTAACTAACTAGCGAATTAACCGGCGAGCAAAGAGAGGGGGGGCGGCCGAGAGGAAGAAGGGACGCTCAGGACCGCCCCCAGACATGCGACGCCCTGATTTTTTCAGGGCGGCGTCCTTGGAAGTCCCGACCCCTTCCCCAGGGCCGGCTTTTCATCCTGAATCGTTGTTTGACTGTCCCGGGGCCCGGCGAGGCCCCCCAAGGGGCGAAAGTAGTGAAAATCTTGCCGCCCTGACTTTTTACGACGTGATCAAGTCTGTACCTGGGAATCGACGGAAGGACGCTCAGACACCATAGAGTTCGACGATGAGCAGCCGGGGGGGCAGCAGCAGCCAGGCGCGAAGGGCCAGAGCGCGGTGGGCGGCGACGAGGAGGTAACACGCCGACGGTCTCCCCACGGCAGCGCGTCGCTGGTGCTCTGCCTCCTCCTCCCGAACTGCAGGCACCCGTTCGGCTGCCTCCGAGGGCCGCCGGACCCCGTCGGCCGTCCCTGGTTTTTAGGTCGGGCGCGTCACCCTGCAGGCGGATTTGGGACGAAACCTAAAGAGTAGCCAAGCATATCCAAACATTGTCAAACACAGCCGAACATAATCAAAACTACTGAAAAAACACAATGGACGAGAAATAACAAATAGACAACAAATGCGCAAGCATACTTTCATATATAGACAAAAACATCCCAGCTTAATTTATTTACTAGTATATATATATATATATATACACAGAGAGAGAGAGAGAGCATCGTCCCCAGACTATATGTTGACTATTGTTGAACAACTTCCTCCTGTAGAGAGAAGGACGTAGAGGCCCTGGCGGGCGAGTCCGCGCGGATTGGCGATCGCATGCCGATGCCGCCCCGCCCCCCCCAAAAAAACACGTCACATTCGATAAGGACACACTGACGGCCCCGCGCGGCCAGGGGGCGAGCCAGGCACCCCCACCCAGGGTTCTCTCTCTGAGCCCTTTCGGCGCATCGGCCCACTCGTCGCCGAGTGGGCCTGAGAAATCGAACCCATTCGGCCTCCGAGCGGGCAAAGTTCCCACCCCCATCCTGGACTTGAGCCCGCGCGGCTGTTCACTCGGCGGACGAGCGGGCTCGGACGCTGAATGGGAACAGAAAGAGAACCCCGGGGCAGCACTGCACGGTTTCTCCCGGGGCCGTAGGCGACCCGAGGAGGAGGAGGAGGAGGAGGAGGAGGAGGAGGAGGAGGAGGAGGAGAAGGAGGAGGAGGGGGGGGGAGGAGGAGAGGGAGGAGGAGGAGGAGGAGGAGGAGGGGAGGAGGAGGAGGAGGAGGACGACGACCAGGAGGAGGAGAGGAGGAGGAGGAGGAGGAGGAGGAACGAGGAGGGAGACGGATAGGAGGACAAAAGGAGGAGGATGAAAATGAGGATGAAAAGGAAGGAGGAGGTGAAAAAGGCGGAGGAGGAGGAGGAGGAGGAGGAGGAGGAGGAGGAGGAGGGAGGGAGGGAGGGAGGAGGAGGAGGAGGATGAAAAGGAGGAGGAGGAGGAGGACGGGTCGCCTCAGCCCTTCGGAGAAACCCTCCAGGCAGCACCGGTGTCGGGGGTCGCTTCAACTTAGGACGGGGGTCCTCGGCTTTGAAGCTGGTGGTAATGTCCGCGGGCCAAGGACCACCGTCACCGATACTGGGGAGGGGGGAAGGAGGGGGCGGGTCGGTTTGCCCCCGTCGGAGGCGACCGCTGGCACGGAGGCTGGTGCCAATTTAGGCTTCCGATGCAATGAGGAGTGAAGAGGAAGGTTCCCAGAGGAGGAGGAGGAGGAGGAGGAAGAAGAGGAGGAGGAGGAACAGGATGAGCAGGATGAGCAGGAGGAGGAGGGGCAGAAGAAGGGGAAGGGGGCTGGAGCAAGGCAGGAAGGGAGGAGGAGGAAGAGGGGGACAAGGAGGAGTGGTGTAGTCAGGGGGGAGGAGGAGAGGAGAAGAGAATAATGATGGGGAGGGGGAGGGGGGAGGAGGGGGGAGGGGGGGGAGGGGGAAGGCGGAAGCGGAGGATTGGGAGGGGGCGAGCGACCCCAGCCCCTCCCGAAGGCAGTAGCCACCCAGACGGCCTGCACGGTGCACACGAGCCCGAGCCGCGTCCCGATCCGCGCGGCGTACCAGTCCGAGGCGTACCCCGCGAACACGTCGTTGCACGTGTTCCATATCATGAAGACTAGATGTGCGCTGGCGACCTCCGGGGCGTGCGCAGGGTTCGGGGCCCCCGAGGCGTCGGCACGTCTTCGTCCGCTCCCGGCGGGCTGCCCGGGCTCGGGAGATGCTCTCCGGCAGCTGCACCTCGCCGAGAGCGGGGTGCGTCCCGATGGGTCGCCGGAGACCCGAGCCACGACCCGAACACCGAGGACGAGGACACACACGCCAGGCGTCGACGATGCTCAGAGCGCGTGTTCATAGCGCCACCGTGCGCCTGCCCGCCGAAGCCCTGCAGTGCGACGCGGGCAGCGCAGCGAGGGCCGACGCAGGCGGAGTGCCATATCGGTGGCACAGCCGGAGCCAGGGCCGAAGGGCACCATCCTCCAAGAACGCGAGGCCCTCCGCCGTCCAAGCGCTGGAGAGCACGCGAGGCTCCCCTCGCCCAGGATGCACAGGAGCAACCAACAAGCACTTCAAGAACAGGAGGGTGCCCTCCCCTCCTCCTCCTCCTCCTCCTCCTCCTCCTCCTCCTCCTCCTCCTCCTCCTCCTACTCCTCTCCTTTTACTCCTCATCCTCCTCCCTCCTCCTCCTCCTCCTCCATCCTCCTCCTCCTCTCCTCCTTCCTCCTCCTCCTCTCCTCCTCTCTCCTCCTCCTTTTTAATCTACCTTCCTTTGACTCCTCCTCCTTTTTTACTCCTCCTCCTAACTTTTTACTCCTCATCCTCTCCTCCTCCTCCTCCTCCTCCCTCCTCCTTCTCACCTCCTCTCCTCCTCCTCCTCCTCCTACTCGCCTCTTCCTCCTGCCTCCCCTCCTCTCCTCCTCCTCCTTCTCTCCCCCCCCTACCCCACCCCTCCTCCTGCTCGTCCTCGTCCTCGTCCTCGGCCTCCTCCTCCTCCTCGTCCTCTTCGTCCTCGAACCGACCTCGGTCCTATACCTCGGTCCGACCGTAAACACACACACAATATGGCCTGACACACGTCCTGAAGACCACCGAAGAAAGAACCCATACACCACCATCGTGACTGGCCAGGGCCCCGTGCGCACACCCTCCGGGCCAGGGCTGGGACGAGGCCTGGCCCCGACTCAAGGCCCAGGGTGGCCTGGCCAGACATGTGCCCTCTGCAGATCCGGGGCCAGGCGGGCCACACCTTCCAACCTCAAAACCTAGACATCAGACGACTCGAAGAGATCGCGGCGACCAGCTCTTCTCCATCTTGAGCGGCTTGGAGCCAGCTTCGGGCCCCGGCACCGTCCAAAACTGCGCGGGATGAGCAAACTGCCCCCAGCAAGAGGGGGTCGAGAGGAGGAGGAGGAGGAGGAGGAGGAGGAGGAGGAGGAGGAGGAGGAACAGGAGGAGGAGGAGGAGGAAGAGGAGGGGTCTCGCAGAAAATCGGGCCGCCAGATGTCTTGGGGGGTCAGGCGTGGCGGCATACCCTTTTTTCAGACGTCCTCTCCTCCTCCTCCTCATACTCATTCTCCTCCTCCTCCCTCCCCTCCTCCTCCGCCTGCCATCCTCTTCCTCCTTCCTCCTCCTCCTCCTCCTCCTCCTCCTCCTCCTCCTCCACCTCCTCCTCATCCTCCTCCTCCTCCTCCCCGGCGCGCCTGGAGCGTGGAGATGTGGTGCATCTGCATGAAGGCGGCCATGTGCAGGCTGCCGAAGAGGAGCGTCGGAACAGTGGCCAGGGTGGTGAGGATGGTGTAGGAGAGGGCCTCGGAGAGCGGCGCGAGGGCTTGCCAAGCTCACTATATAGGCTTCAGGGGTACCCAAGACCTTCTTCTGACTACCTACCAGACCACCCCAACCCAACCCGAAGACCCGAATCTGACCCGAATTCCGGGTTTGGGGGGGTACGGGTTCCATGTGTTTTCTCAATGTTCCCCGACCCCCCCCCAATGTTCCCCGGAGAAAAAGACTTTTCCCGGTAAAATCGGACTTACCCCGGGAAAATCGGACATTTCCCGGTAGAACCCTCTCAGAGTCTGAGAGTCTGACAGTGCGAAAGTGTGAAAGTATACGAATATGAGAGGCTTCTGGGTGGCCCCTGAGAGGCTTCTGAGAGGCTTCTGAGAGGCTTCTGAGAGGCTTCTGAGAGGCTTCTGAGAGGCCCATGAGAGGCTTCTAAGAGGCCCTTGAACGGCGTATGAGAGGCCATACTACTACGATACTACTACTTACTACTACTACTACTACTACGACTACTACTAA